CCACTAATCCTATTTCCCACCCGGAGTCTTACACTGCTGTACAAGGTGCGTTAACTCCACAACGAATTCTCACAATGAACCTACTGTATTGTCCAGCGTGATATACTTGAAACGTTTTAATTAGCCTTTTGTACAGTTATCCCACCCACACACTGAGAACAGCAAAACTTTCCCTGTGCCTGTTATCACATGTGTGTAATGTATCAGAGAGCATCTGTTTTTGGTTGAGATGAGTCTCTGCTTCTGCTCCAGCCGGAGGGAAATTAAAAAGAGAGTCGGATGCTTTGCTAGTAAAACTGCATAACCAACAAAGACTTTTTACAAAACTTTCCACACCCACAGATGCAGCTTTCAGGTCAAGTTATGTCATATCCCACAAAATCGCCAGAAAAAGTAAGTCATTTTCTGACGGTGAGTTTATTAATTTAGTGTTTGTTGGACTCTGCAGCACTAATATGCCCGGAGAAAAAGGGCGCACATGAGAACATACCCCTCTCCCGACGCACTGTAACGAGGAGGGTTGAGGACATCGTAGGATCTCTTTGGATCTACCTACATATGTGAACAGACATTCTCAGTGATGAAGTTCAACAAATCTAGATTTCAATGCACTTGTTCTCTTAGGACACTGAAAGGCATCCCAGATTCTGCAGAGGTTTTTGGTTGAGATAAAACTAGCATTTGCCATGCACTCGTTTTTGGTTACACTGCCCCACATTTCCTTTGGGCATTATGTGTGTGGCCAAGACGCCACATGGGAGGTTTATATGTCATTTATATTAGTTCACACAAACACTCCATCCTTCTGCTCCTGGCCGAGCCCCTCTGTCAAATTTTAGAACCCATTGAGTCAAAAGGTTTGCCCACCCCTGATATAGATGGTAACTCTTAAAACTCTTGTTGTGGTGTCATCAAACAAGTAATATTTCTCTTTTTGTGTCCCACCTTTGCTCTTAGTATGAGGAATTTGAATGAGCATTTGCCTTTTACCATAGACGCCCTTTCTGAAATATTTAGGATATGATTCTTACCGTGATTCGTATGGGCAGGAGATCTAAACCAGACCCCCCTCCTGGCCTGACATCAATATTCTTGATTGTTGGCATGTGACTGCTTCAAAAGAACCAATTTCTGACCTTTTTAAATTATATTTTATTTTATTTTATTGCAATGGCCAGCGTGCAGAAAGATTTTCCTTTGGCCATTTTACAAATCACATCACTTTAAATGTACATCTTCAAACGAGCTTATATTAAAAATATTACATAAATATTTTTTCAAATGGCTTCTTTTAAAAAGCAAATATTCTCATCAGTCTAAAAAAAGCTCAGAAGGCCATGACGGCCCGGAGCCTTGCTGGCATGACCAGCAAAGCAGAGCAGGGTCATCACAGGGCACCTACTGGGGGTAGCTATAGCTGCGCGGCTCACAGTGAGGTATACAACCCTTTCACTTGAAAGTCTTTGATAGCAGTGGATGCCCTCCTCCGTTCACTGCAACAGACCTCTCTAGTCTCCTTTATAGGATAAGGCCATAAAAAGGCATGTATAACACTACAGGCAAACATGTTTTTGGACAGGCAAACGTAATTGTTTTGCTGCCTTTTTATTGCTTCCTGCTGCTCTTCTTTAATTACAATAACTGAAAGACGACCTAGCTACATGCATTTCTGGCAAGATACCTTGGATCAGCTAAATTTAATTATAACTGCCTTAAATAGCCCCTAATCTCCATAAATAAGTCCATGTTTTATGTATGCCTTATTCATAATTTATCTTCTGTCCAACTCCAAGGGGGCAGGGAATACAAGTGCTGAGCAGTCCTCATCAAGAACAAGCAATGGGCTCATCTGATCATGTTACTGACTCCACACAAAGCTCATTACTTCCCCGGTTGATGTCTTGTTTCTGTTAAGTTGTATATTGTGTGAAAAACATGAAAACTGCACTGGAGCACAAGTGATAGGGTGAAACACAGAGAGGGAAACAAAAGTTGGTGTCATTACATTTTTAGCGTCAGGTTCGACGTCAAGTACATTAAAGATACATGTTTATCAGTGCAGGACAGTCTGAGTCAATACATTTCAAATTAACTGTTTAGAAAAAGTTTGAGCTTTTAATAATAACAGGGTAACTAAAATAAATAATTTCCTTAGTTAATATTTCAAATTTTGAATCAGGAATATGTCAGAAAACAATCTTCTTTACTGTAAAATTATGCAGCAAGTAAAATCTGAGCTTTGCTGGCATGACCAGTTCAATACAATTTGTTTATTGTCAACTCACAAAAATCTCTGGGGTGAGTGGATAGAGAGAGGAAACACAAGTAAAAACAAAACAACAACAAACAAACAAACAGTTGGCAGGTATCCCTGACTGTAGTGCTCTGGAGTCAGGGATATATCCCTGATGGTCGAAGCCGTGCTCTGTGCACAGCTCACTGGCCTGCCTCCTCCTTATTTCCTTTCGGTTTTCTCATCTATTCATTACTTGTTTTGGTTTCTCTTCTCCTCCATACTCCTGAAAAGCAACAAATGTCAGAAAAAATGAAATATATTTTAGAAATTCAGATGAAGTGGGAACCGATGACTACATAAAATCATTAACCTCATTAGATGAACTGATATTTACCATGTACATGAGAGGTCTTACACTTCATCCTGTCCTCCACCTCTTCCTCTCTCCTCACTCTGAAAGACAAATAGAAGACAGCAGGAGCTGTAGTTAAAAGTTTTTAAAGAACAGAGGCACAGACGATTTGTTCATGATTACTATATAAAATGTAATTAAAGCAAATGAAATTATACTTAGCTGTTTGAGATGTTCAGATGTCATTATGCAACCACCGCATCTCCTCTTCTCTCCTCTACCTGTTTCTTAATTCCTCTATTTGGTCCTCTCTCCACGTTGTGTGTTGTCTCTTCACTTTTCATTCAGTCTAATAAAATCAAATGTCAAACAAAACAAACGGCCCATCACAGAGCAACATCGGGGGCCTTCATCGGGGCTCTCACACACACTCACTGAGGGCCGTGAGTCGCCACTCACATGCTCCACTTCAGCAAGGGGGGGGCTTCACACACTGGTCTACTTTATACAATGTAATTAAAGCAATACAATTATACTGACCATTTCCAAATATTCAGATGTTGCTTCTGAAGAGAGGAAGTGATGGAGGGCAGGATGAAGTGTAAGACCTTTCATGTGCATGGTAAATATCAGTTTATCTAATGATGTTAACGATTTTATGTAGTCACTGGTTCCCACTTCATCATTTATAAATATTCCATTTTTTTTTTATATTTGTTTATTTTCAGGAGTATGGAGGAGAGGAGAAACCAAAAAGAAATATGAATAGAGGAGAGAACTGAACAGAAATAAACAGAGGAGATGAGGTGGGAAGGTGTAACGACATCTGAATATTTGGAAATGGTCAGTATAATTTTATTTGAACGTCTTTATCAATGAACCCCAAAACAAAGTCCATACTATAATCTGTATTTGCAGCAGTCCATGTGAAAATGACATCTGTCTAAAGTTGTAGACCACTTTTCATGAATGTAGCAGCACCATTTAAATGTTTCATAACACAAAATATAAGTGAGGAGTATATAGGGTTACAATCAGACGTGCCACATAAGGAACATAGTCTTCAACATGTGTCCATGTTTATTTTATATTTTATTGTGTCAGCTTGAAACCATACAACCATGTAGTGTAGTGGAACAGGAATGTGCATGGTGAATCAAATCCCAAACAATCCATGAACCAATAAGCGACACGTCTTGACTGCACTTCAATTTCTTGACCACTAGATGTCCTACTGAAGCACTGTGTCATTGAAACTTCTAGTAAATGGTCTTATACTTGTATAGCGCCTTTCTGTGCTTTTTACAGCACACTCAAATCGATTTCACATTATTCGGCCATTCACCCATTCGCACTCCCAAGCACTCACGCATTCACACACCGGTGACATCACCGGGAGCAACTTGGGGTTCAGTGTCTTGCTCAAGGACACCTCGACATGTTGACTGGACAAGCCGGGAATCGAACCAATAATCCTCCGGTTAGGAAACGACCCGCCACAGCCGCCCCCAGCCACAGCCACCCCCATAATAATGAGTAATGAACCATTTGTGTGAATACTGTGTCGAAGCTTCAACAAAGCCTCATTGGCCATCACTACCTATATTATTCTTTGATGGCACTTGGACGTTGTTGTCTTTCTTGTCTCCTTATTGTGGTTCCCATGTGACTATGGGATACCCAGGTAGTTGTAGGCAGTCTGTATGTCTGCTATGTGGCCCCTGAGACCATCCCTATATTTGGTTTCGAGTACCAGCAAGATAGCTGACTGTCAGCTAATAGGAGTAATGTCCTGTAGCCAAATGAATGAATGACATGAAAAACAAATTATTTTTCACAACCTCCGGGAAAGGATGTTGTTTTTGACACATCATTAGCCTACATATCACCAGAGGATTCAGTTCACGCCCTTTTGACAATGCCTTATGGTGCGCCTCGGAAATTACTGTTTTCCATTGTGGAAATCGAGTTGCTTTCAAGTAGCCTACTTTCGGAAGGGGAATAATAGCTTAAAGAAAATGTGAATAATGTCATATTGCAATTGTTTGAATTTGTTTTTAGTTTTTACTACATCAAGATGTTGGCGAGTTGTCTTTATGCAGCCCAGTGCTGCAGTGTCATAACAAAGAGGACATTCTTGCTAGGCATCCGTTTTCTGCTTAACCGAGTGTTTTCTTTTTAATTAGCCATGGTATCAATTACTGACACTGTACACAGATTTTGATTTCCACACGCTACAGCTCAGGTGACCTGTGGTCTCATTCATATGCACTTGCTCCATATAATAGAATAGCCAGTATTCCGATAGCACGCGAAGGCCACGTACTCCCTCCCCCAGCTGCTTCTTTCTAGTGACACAGTCCCGCAGAGCTGGAGTAGGGCAATGCTAGCATGGCGCTCGGTGAGGTTGGTCTTCCGTTGTTTCCCCTGTGTTCTTTTTACGTTATGTTTAACCTAAGTATCTGACAGAAGTGTATTTACGCTCTACGTTGTGCGTCTCTAACAAAAACCATCTGGGAAAACAGCAGTATTTGTCTGGGGAATACTCCAGATAAGTAGCTAACTTAGTAGAATCCAGGTGGCTGGCTAACTAGTAACATTAACGTTAGCAAGGAGGCAAAAATTGGGAAATACGGGGCAACAAGAGGAGGTGTTCTCTTTTGGAAGAGGTATGCTGAATTGCATTTAGTTGGTGAATTACTTCTACATATTATAGGTCAATTGGTTTCTGTCCGAGAAGTTGTAGAACATGGTTTAAATCGCAAGTGCAGTAAAAACTTCCAATTGTTAGTTAACTTAGAGGGGGTTGCAGCATTAAAGTAGTACCGATACTAGCGATCGATGTGTGCTATTCAAACGTAACGTTACTTAATTTCCTACGGCTAAACACTACGGCGCAGAGTACTCATAAACCGTCTAGTAAGTATCCCTAGCCCTTTTCGTGCCGTGAAGTGTTACGTAATATTGACATTTTTCTGGAGTAACCTTACACTGTTGCAGCACAAGCCTGAAACATCTGGATTTTAACACTGAAATGCATTCTTGCAATATCAATTTATAAGGTGCGTTATATCCCGCCGATTTTGCTGTAAGGTTAATAAAGTGTGTAGACAGCATTTTTTATGGATTCATCTCAGTTTTCACTCATAAAAGACCAATCTCAGTCTTTCAGTCCTGCACAGTGCAGATCTCTCTCTCGCTCTCTCTCTCTCGCTCTCTCTCTCTCTCTCTCTCTCTCTCACACACACACACACTTTATCGTTTTTATGTCGCGGTGACGTGCAAAAGGTCCAGTGCCCAAGGATCCGAGATATGTAGCTGTAGTTATCCGCTGTGGAGTAAATTAAATTATTATGACCTTCAGTCCCCCGTTGGTTAATTTAATGGAAGACAGTAGACCAGTAGTTTTGTGGTTTGCCAGTGTTATTGGCTCATCAGCTGCCATATTAAATGTGATGGGATTGTGTCACTTTTTCAATATGACAGTTGAAATTTAACACTATACACTTTCAGGTATGTGTAATGTCTGTTATATGCATGTCCTGTCCTGTTTCTTCTATAGTTGATTAATTTGTCTTGTAGAACGGCTAGCTAACATTAGCTTTGTTTTTTCTTTCTTCTTCTTCTTCTTCTAGCTGATGCAAATGCGATGGCCATAGCCGAGGTATGGGAGTGACGTGACTCTACCGGTCCTGCTTCCAGAGAGCCAAAAACCTTATCAGCATCATGTTTTTCTGCTGAAGTGCAGGTAGATCACACAGAGAATGGACGAATCAGTATTGCTGGATTTGCTCGAGTGCCCGGTTTGTCTGGAGCGGCTGGATGCTTCGGCAAAGGTTCTTCCCTGTCAACACACCTTCTGCCGCAGATGTCTCCAAGGCATCCTAGGCTCACGTGGAGAGTTGCGCTGCCCAGAGTGTCGGACATTGGTGGAGTGTGCTGTAGATGAACTCCCCAGCAACATCCTCCTTGTGCGCCTGTTGGATGGCATCAAGCAGAGGCCGCGAAGGACTGGTCCTGGAGCTGGAGTCTGCACAAATGGTACATCTGGAGCTGTGGCCAGAGCACACGGAAGTGGAACCAGGGAACAGAGCACCCCGGTAGTACAACCCCAGCGAGCTCAGTCTAAGAGCACCCTCGTCCGGGTTAGTAGTCTCACTGTGACTAAACATGAATAAGTGAGCATGAATCTGTTTTCCCCATTGTTAGAGTCAAGCTGAAACAAAACTGAGAAAATCTTGTGTGGAATAAAAGCAGCATGTTGCATTACTAGTGCTCTAATCTTTGCTGTGGATAAATTGTTATCACGGTGATCCAAAAGCCAGCCAGTTGACTAATGGCCGTGACTGAGGACAGTTGACAGCTGAGTCAACAAATGATTCTACTCTTTGCGCCTAATAGGCTCTGTGCATGACTGTAGTCTGCTGACTTCTGGTTGCAACGGTAATGAGCATACCAGTTGCTTGCTACTGTAGTTGCTGTTCTACTGAACTATTGCATATTTTTGTGGTACCAGCAATATTTACTAACAGTTCTTAAATGGCTATCAGTCATAGTCAAATGGATTATTTAGCACACTAGATTGGTGGCAGTTTATTTGTCTTATCTGGTGTAAAATCTAATGCATTCTGGTGATCCAACAAACTGATGAAACCCAGGGAGTTCTTTAATTTGAGAGCTGGTGTCTTATTGCCTCAGTTTCTCACACCATGCCATTATAATGTTTTCGGTCTACCACTACACTGTTAGTAGGAACACAGTAGCCATGATATCTGCAAGTTCCTGTGGTCGGGGGGGGGTCTTTTCTTTCTCTGCTCAACTAACTGAGTGTGTGTGTCAAGGTTGCAGCCCCTTCCTCCTCGAAACAGAGAGGTACATAGAAAATACAGTGCAACAACAAAGTAGAATGGCCTGCATCAGCCCGGGAGGTTATGCAGGACAAAGCACTGAGTATACCACTCATTAGGTTCCAATAGTTGCAATGCAGCAGTAGTAGAGCGCTCCCAAACTCCCGCTCTTGCCTGTGGTTTAGTTATTCCATTGAAATAGGGGACTGCGCTGACTTTTAATGTTCTTTCTCCTTGTGATGTTGTGAAAAATAACCACTGCATACCCTTGAATGGCTTGTCATACAGAGGGCAGCTGTGGCTCAGGAGATAGAGTCGGTCGTGTCCTAACCGGGGTTATTAGCGGTTTGATTCCCAGCTTGTCCAGTCAACGTGTCGAAGTGTCCTTGAGCAAGACACTGAACCCCTAGTTGCTCCCGGTGATAACACCGGTGTGTGAATGTGAGTGTTTGTGAGTACAAATAGGTGAATGGCCAAGTAGTGTGAAAGCACTTTGAGTGTGCATGCAATGTGTAGAAAAGCACTATATAAGTATAAGACTATTTACCATTTACAGAAACAATCCTGTCTTGTATAGTTTAACTGCTCACTACAAAGTCATGGGTCTTTAGGAAAGCCTTGAAAGATCAAAATGGAGTTTTAACAGCTTAAACTGTAGCAAAGTGGAACACAACAATGGTCATGTGAACCACTTTTCCTCTGCTGATACTGTATGTGGACACTTTTTAGATTGTATTTACACCTCATTTGGATTAATTTGTGGCTCAGTATTTGATAAGTTACCCATTAGTTTAGCTTAACCGGGAAAAAAGCCACATTAGAACCGGAAGTCAGCAAACTACAATCATGCACAGAGCCTAATGCAGCCTGGCTTTTCCCATAAGAAGGGTTCTTAGTCCTTGTAAATTGCTGACAATGCCATATGCCAAATTCTTTCTTACTCTTGAGGAGATTCCTGTTGTAGGACTATATGTGGGAAAATCATGGTAGGGCTAAAAGGAGGTTGTTTCACCTTCAGTACTGAGGAGTTATATAGCTAGAGAAGCAGAAGAAAAATGTTAAGCTTATGTAATCCCAAGAAAACACAAGTTCATATTAGCGTATCACTGTTCTTAATGGTGGATACACAAGAGAGGAAAGCAGATGCTCAGGCCAACAGATGTCGGACATGTCTTGCTTTAGTGTTTTTGGTGCCAGTATAATGTAATTTATTGACTCTGTCTAAAACTGTTTATTCAATTACATTTAGCTATGGGAAGTCTATACCTAGTTTAATATTGCTGCTTTGTAGTAGTTATACAATTCAAAATCACACTTATGTGAATATGCTACTTTCTCTGTGCTGCCCAGACTAGTTTATATGGAAACACCGTAATAATAATAATGACAATATATACACTCCAGGAAATAATAACACGTTAACATTAGCAAAACTGAAGTGTAATATGTTGTCTTGACACTTGAATTGTCAAGGCTCTTATTATCTTTTGCTGTAGTTCTACCCAAATTACACAACATAATATTTTTTCACGGTATTGTTGTATTAAAATTATTGTACATTAAAAACCTGGCTCAATAAAAATGGAGTGCAAAAAAAAAAAAACACCAATGGGCCCCTCTGAGCACCTTTGGTCTCCACACAGGGATGATAGGGTAGATGAAAAGATGTCAAGGACCTGTGTAGAATCATTGGAATGTCAGCATGCTGATAATGTATCTGTCTAGCCATGCAGGTACAGAGATCAGAGACCTTGCTGTAAATCGCTACTGGGGGACCCGCCTCATTTGCCATAGTATCACTTCAGAGAATTTGCGCTAATTTCAAAGCTGTGTATTGTGGAATTTCCCTTCAGTCTCAAAGGTCTGCTTGTTGGGAATAAAGGGATGGACACTTGAAACCACCGCATTATTTCACCTAGCTAATGTTTCTATGATTGGCAGTTGATTACAGTTCCTCAGTGTAGGCAGGAAAGGTACAGTGCTCCTCCATACACACACCATTGCTGAGTGTTGCGTGATAGTATGTATAACTGTGAAGTGCATTTGAAAACTGTTTGTATTTTCCTTGCATTCCTAAATGTATTGTAGGGTGTCATGTTGCGGACTAATAGTGTCTCTGAAGTCTGTTCTGCCTTCCTAAGGCACTCAGCTGATGACAAACAGGAACTGCTGAAGACAAGAAGAGACATGGTTGTGCAGGTGAAATATTTTCAGAACATAAAAGGCAGAGATCAAAGCCCTTGCTGATTGCCCAGCCTGAGCTCTCGTCAATGCTCCATGGGGAGTGCTGCATTACCCCCCTGGGTGACACCCTAACGCCCACTTCTTTATTGTTGGCTGTTTGTGCCATGATTTTTATCTCAAAGTTTCAAGTGTATCTCAAAGTTTGAAGCAGCTCTTCTGGTGCTGTCGAACTCCACCTCCACTTTTTATGTGGCCAAAGAATTGCTAGGAGGGGAGAAGAGCAGGGACTGCTTGACAAATGCACAACAGGGTTTTGTTTCAGGTCCCCTCTGATCTCACTGACTGACCCACACATGCGGAGGGGCCAAGAGAGATTGCATGTGCATGGAAGAATACCAGTAACAGAAGCTGATGAGTGTTAAATGAAAGCGCCAGAACCAAAAGGGACAAATGTTTCGTGAGTAACCTCACACAGTCAACTTTGTGGCACCCCTCAACCATCTCCAGGGTTGTAGCAGTTGTTTGACACTCTGCCTTGGCATTTCTTTGATGAGGGGAATGAAAAGGCTTGTCCTGAATGTAGTGCTGTGGTTGTCTGGCCCTTTGCAGTCAGGTTGATGACTCAGCTCCACAGTGCTCCATTACGTGGATGTTTTTTCTTTCTCCTGCCCTTGTTGACTCATGTATAAACAGTATTTTGTTCACAGAAATTGAAAACGGATAGCTAGTGTTATTTTTGTGTGAGATTGAGTAAAACCTCTGGAGTTGTCTTGGTGTCAAGGGTCAGGTTTTAGGACTCATGGCAGTCAGGGTTTGGAGCCACTGATGAAGAGGGAAGAGGATTTAGAGAGATTTCTGTGGACGTCTTCAGTTAATGTGGTCCTCGAGAGAGTTGCGATTTTACTCCCAAAGACTTAAAATGGAGCTTCTTTTATGATAAATTCTGCCATTGTCATAAAAGCTTTAGTGTTCATTTTTAATAGTGTTGTGTACTGGCCGCAGTTTAGAGGATAGGTTACATTTGCAGCTCTAATATGTACTAATACTTGTGTGGTAAGGCCATTTATTATAACTTCATTCAACTACCAATTAGTTGTGAGCATGTTGGCACAGGTATATCTGTCTTTTTGTGTTTAGTTGATAGGAAATAAGACACTTCTTTCTTAAGCTCTTGAGGGTGTAACTCTGCCATTTTTTAGTAATGAGAGCTTTATCCAAGCTTAAGTTTTTTCTCTCTATTTGTACATCTCTCTCAGTTTGATGGACCCTACCACCTGCCATTATTTTTGTTGAGCTTACAGTTCCCTGGGAGGATGCTATAGATATAGCTTATGAGAGGAAGAAGCTGAAATACACAGAAGTTAGGTATAAAAGGGTGGAGCCTAAGATGGGTAATTAGGAATCTAGCTGATAGCTGAGCAAGGTCCAATGAGTGGTTCTGGAGCAGAAGAAAGGTGTGTGAATGGGGTAAAAAAAATAGGTAAGTGATTTATAAATGGCACCATACTGTATGTGAGGATTATGCCTGTTAAGATGAAGTAAACTAGCATTGGAGGACAGACTTAGTAAAAGTGTTTGATACATGCAGCAGGCTTGAGGCCTAGGTCCTGGTGTTAGCATGAGCAAGCTAACATGAGAGCATAGTAGAAGTTTGACTGGTTTGTTGCAGTGAATACTCATGCAGTATAAAAGGAAACAGGAGTCTGGCTAGTTATTTGGTGAGCTATTTGGAATGCTTGAGTTATTTTAAATGTTTTGTGGCTAGAACAGTAGTTGAAATGTTTGCTAGTGCTAGTGACTATTTGGTAACAATTAGCCTGAGTAGATGAGGGTGTGTGGGTGCAGGCAAAGAGGGGAGTGGTTCTGAGATGCTGGAACACACTGTTGAGCTTTCTTTTCAGCCAGTCAGAAGCTGGAAGATACCAATTCAATTTATCTTTCCTCACTCCACTTTCATCTAAGATGGTATCTTCCAGCTTCTGACTGGCTGAACACACCTGAGCCAGGTAATCAGGCAGGGACAGTTGGAAAACAAGCAGGACAGCGGCCCTCGAGGACTGGAATTGGCCACCCCTGCTTAGTGAGAAGATGCCACCTGATGACCCTGTAGACTT